GGGGGTGGGGGGTGCGGCTTATAGTCTGGTGCGGCTTATATGTTGATGTTCGCATGTTTTTTTTTAAAAATGGCGGGTGCGGCTTATATTCCGGTGCGGCTTATAGTCCGAAAAATACGGTAGTGTTATGGCCGATAATCAATATTTACCGATACTACACAAACACACAAATTATATTATACATATATGCACAAACACACTTTTTTGATGCAGTAAATAAACAACCAGACCTCTGACATGGCTCCCTACTTCACTTATTCCTGGCTATGCAGCATCAATATCACTATCATGATCAAACAGAAGCCGCTCAACCAACCATATCCCCTCCCAAAACAGAAACACAAAGCTAAAAAGTCAGAAATCAATATCGGACGTTAATATCAGCCCAGTTTTATATGTCGGACTGATACGATATTCTAAAAAAATGAACAAAATTGGACGATACCGATATTAATGCCAATATATCGTGCATCCCTAATCAGGATATTTTTATGGTTATCAAAATTAAAGCTGAACTKAACTTTAATTAAAATATTTGTTAGTGCTCAGAGTTTATGTTGGGAATGACTCAGCTACACCAAACTTTAACTCAATACTTGTAAAACTGATTGATTGATTAGTAGCGGCGGCCTTGAATTGAGTTGACTTCCAGAGGTAATTAACTGTAGATTAATCATCTCTGAGAGGTTCGTTATTTTACTGTTTATTCATTCCAGTAAATAATCTTGGCATCTCTCCCGAAGCATCCAAGAAGAACTAAAACAGGTTGTTGTTTTTTTTTTTATCTGGTGAGTTTTTGATGTGAACCAGTCTGTCAGCTAGAAACAGGTTCTTTCATCAGGAACAAATCAGAGGTGGTGGACAGTTCAGAGGAGGAAAATATCTCAGGAACTGTCTGCAGCCTTCTTTCATCAGCACGTAAAAAAACAACTCCATGTCCGCCTCGTATCTGAGGCTACAGACACGAGTCGACAAGTCAGCGCAGCGTCTTCGCCCCGCCTCGCTGTGTCACCGCTCGCCACGAGAAGGGTCACACGAGGACACCTCTGTCTTCAGTCAAGCGTTCTGCACGGCAACCCCCCCGAGCTGCTCACTGCGTTAACGTTACGTAGATTATGACACAAACTGTGAATAATGAACATCAGACATGGTTTAATGACAGATCAGCCTCATTTCCAGGTCAGTGTTTGGTTTCTGCAGCCCTTTACTCAGAATGCTGAATGATGCACATCATAATCAAAACAAAGCACTAGAATACTTTASTTTTCTGTAAAAGTACAGCAGATCTAAGATTATTTTTTCACCTTGCACAGCCTCTCCAGGCAGCTGGATGTTGCAGTTTTTAATAAAACTACAGTTTTAATGAATTCTGAGCACTTCAAGGGCCTCTCATCTGAGCTCCGGATCACAATTCACTCTTACTCAACGGWTAACAGAATAATCTCACCATGAGGTGAATTTAGAAGCTGGTCAAAAGTATTTTTCCACAACATTCAGTCTTTCTCAAGGTCATCAGATTGAAATTGCTCATTTGTCTGTTTTTTCTTTTGAGTTTGAATGGRAATTGTAGAAAGAACTCAGTGCTGYGAAGCTGTAAAATCTGTCTGGTTTTACCCAGAGACTGTTTTATTTTCAGCTGCGTTCATCCTTCCTTTAGTTACAATCAGCTGAATATGATGCTGCCACCACAGTGCTTCACTAAAATACAGCGGGTAAAATAAGTATTGAACACATCAACATTTTTCTCAGTAAATATATTACTAGAGGTGCTAATG